TAGGTAGTGGCAGCTAGCGCTGCCATAGCTGTAGCCTAGCATGTGTGTGTGTGAAGTGTGATACTGAGTGTTGCGTGTGGGACATCCAGGGTGATCCAGAGTGCGAACAGTGAGTTGTGTGGGCGCTCAGTCGCCATAGCCAGTTTGAAGAGAACTCTTATGTGGATACGATATCTTGAGTACTGAGTGGGCGCCTGTCGCCAATTTGCTGCTTCGCTGTTTGCATACATGACAAGTTGAATAATCGTTGTGTGATTTCACAGTCAGTGACACGAGGTGAAAGGAGATACGCTGCACTTCTTACAAGCGGACACTGTCGGACAGCAAACGAATAATAGACTAATCAAGAGAGCTGATACCATTTTCCTTTTGTGCAGAAAGATCAGATCGTCGAAAAGAAAAGAAAAAAAATTGAAAAAAAAATGAACAAAAAAACCAACAACAACAACAGTAGAAGCCCCCATCATAAGCAGTCCAGTTATCAATCAGGGTCAGCACGGCTAGAAGAGCAAGTTTTAACCCCAGGCTCTCAGACTGGGTTAAGAAACGTTTAGTCGTCGCGGAAAAAAGAGGTACCGAGCAATTTCGAATTATAAAAGATTAAAAAGAGTTCATTTGACACTGCACTTCAGCGGACTGAGAGGAAAAGCTCAGGAGATCACTATACTTTTTTCAAGTAGACAAAAGTATTTTTGAAACAGCAAGGACAGAGTAAAAGGATCATACAAACAGAAAGCACAATAGTCAAAGTAAAGACCAGGCAGTTAGTCCTTCAAGCACAATTATAGTCAAAGTAAATACCAGGCAGTTACTAGTCCTTCAAGCACAATAGTCAAAGTAAAGACCAGGCAGTTACTAGTCCTTCAAACACAATAGTCAAAGTAAAGAGCAGGCAGTTATAAGTCCTTCAAGCACAATTATAGTCAAAGTAAAGACCAGACAGTTAGTCCGTCAAGCACAATAGTCAAAGTAAAGACCAGGCAGTTAGTCCTTCAAGCACAATAGTCAAAGTAAAGACCAGGCAGTTACTAGTCCTTCAAGTACTATAGTCAAAGTAAAGACCAGGCAGGTTCTAGTCCTTCAAGTACTGTAGTCAAAGTAAAGGCCAGGCAGTTAGTACTTCAAGGCTCAAGCACAATAGTCAAAGTAAAGAGCAGCCAGTTACTAGTCCTTCAAGCACAATAGTCAAAGTAAAGACCAGGCAAGACCAGGCAGTTACTAGTCCTTCCAAAGGAAAGCAACAATGCTCTCAGAATCATTTGGGAAATCGAAGCCAGGTTTTAAATTACTGTGGTAACAGGGTCTGGACTCTGAAGCAGTAACTGTGGTAAATCGTGCCACTGGCAATTGGGTAATAAGTTACTAGTGACTAGTAACCAATGCCGCTGTCCCATTAATCATGATCACGAACCGTTACGAGGAGATGCCTTGAGTGAGTACATCTGATGTAAGGGATGCTGGACCTGGTTTCCAGCATTATTAGTACAAAATCTGATTATTAAAAAAAAAAGAAAAAAAAAAAGGTGTTCAAGCCTTGAAGGTGAACAGCGCGACGCGTATCATTATTGACTTTTGCAAGTATGCACTTGAAAATTCTGAAAGGTTAACCGTTATTATTGGATGAAGAGGTGACTGTCTGTTTCCGGTACAGCAGTGAGAGTCTAATCACAGACCTGTAGGTTAATGCGTCCCTGGCGCTGGTTTCCAGCAGCTGCCGCTCCGCACGAACATCCAGGCGTTCAGTGGTAATACCGTAAGAGCGACCAGATCCACAGCCCACTGGCTACCGCTCACCTAAAGGCTACGGAAATATCGTTTAAGAAGTTATAAGAACCTGATTTGCAATCGCCCGGCACACAGTTAGAGAAGGAAAAATCTGCATTTTCTAAGAAAGTTGCTGTCTTTTTTTTTTTTTTTTTTTTTTTTTTTTTAAAGAGGGACATGCTCCAATCTATTCGTGGGGAGCAGCTGAGATTTCCCCTGAAGGTTCAGGCGCTTGCGTGAGTACCTTCTCAGGCAGTCCAGTGCCGCGTTGGGGCTCGCTATCGACATCGAGCACAAACTCCGCCGTGGCTTGTGTCCATCTTGCTGTGTTGTTCTGGATTTGTGCGAGCTGGTGATGACATGTGTATGTGCCTGGGTGTTTCCTTGAGTCAAGTCTGAGTCCCCATGCGAACTCCGTTTCCCGCGCTCAGCCTGTGTTTCTTCCTTTTCTTTCTTTCAGAATCATTCTTGCTAAGACTTTCTTTACTTTCTTTTTGTTTTGTTTTGCTTTGTTTTGTTTTGTTTTGTTTTGTTTTGTTTTGTTTTGCTTTGTTTTGCTTTGTTTTTTTTTGTTTTGTTTTGTTTTGTTTTGTTTGTTTTTTTAATCCCCGGCAAGCATGAGTTCAACAAAAACAATGCAGGGGGGGGGCCTAGCTCAGCCGGCAGGCAGACTGTCTTGGAGGGGTAGAAGTACAATTTGCCAGGGAGTCCGATCCGTTACTAGGGGTATCCAGCAACTTTGAGATGCCCTGGAGTTCGGTAGGTTGGCAATGATGGTACCAGGCCCGTATCTAACTGCATTAACGTCTATATTAGTATATTCCAATTCTGTAGGTACGATTATAGACTGTCTGTAATCATGATGCTCCGGCCCAAAAGGGAGGGGACTTGTAGGCCCCAAGTGAACCTGTGGCAGCTGAGAGCACCTGGATAGAAGGCCTACAGACCGAGAGAGAAGTGTACTGTCTCACTTGGTGTGATGACTGGGTCATTCACAGGGCAGTCTTGCTGCTGCTCCACAAAGAGGGGTAAGAAGTGGAGGTCCCGGGTGAGCGAGGAGGAGGTTCAGGTTGATGGAGGACAGAGCCATGGCAATGGAGGAGAGGGAGGGCCGACGCGACATCAGAAAATTCGAAATTGACAACAAAATTGCAAAGTAGAAGACCTATCCTGTACACGACTGATTGTGAAATAGTAGAAATCTGAAATACAGAAAAAAAAAAAAAAACTTTTTTTTTTTTTTTTTTTTCGTTTTTGGTTAATGCGTGTCATCCTTGCGCAGGGGCCATGCATTATCTTCTCTGTATCGTTCGAAATGTAACGGATGTCCCGAAGGAAGAAATACAGAACACTAATTTACTTTATCAGTGATTTTGTTTTCCTGCGCCCCATAGAAACAACAAGCTRATCAAAAAAAAAAAAAAAAAAAAAAAAAAGAGCTGCGTGAGAAGCATAGGTACGCGACAAGCATGTCATTCATCAAAATCACTAAAAGTGCGTTACAGTGAACCATTGTCTGCAATCAGCGCATACTCACATTGCCACCTTTTTACCTATTTCTGGACGGAATTGCAGCCAGATGCATACAGGTCCGGTCGTAAATGCGGTTAGATTCATTTAAGATAATGTGCGTGTGAGTAAGCCCTCAGCTAGTCGATAAATGTCGCTGTGGGAAAACTACGGATAAGGTTCGGATAAAGCTCCCATAACTTTCAGAGAAGGTTCAGAATCTTCAGATAATAGACAGAATGGAGACATTTCGATACAACTTTAAGTTGAGAAACTGTGCTTCTTTATGAAGTGCCAAGGGTCTCACCACCCTCCAACGAACCTAATAGCTCAGTTGGCACACCCACAAGCTGTTGAAGTTCGAATCCACCTGCAAGAGGAATATCAAAATTACCCTTTGTTATGAGCTTAGAACCAATGGTGGCTCATATACATATCATATCATACGAAAAACCTACCCTCGAAAGACCTAGCTCAGTTGGTACACACACAAACTGTTGAAATACACTCCCAAGTCCGAATCACGATGCAGAGGAATATGAACGCTACCCTTTCGTTCATTCTCCTGTTACAACGCAGATGCACTATATGGCTGCCACATGCAAGCCAGAAGGCAAGAGCCAAAGAAAGACTTATGTTCATTCTCCTTTTATGACCCAGAAGACGTACTAGATGTGAACACTATTCATGACAAGGAACCATGCAATAGGCAATGCCATATGTTTTTCCGCTTCTGCTCACGAAGAAAGGCTTCAGTGCACCAGCAGTAGGGAGAATATAAAACCGCTAGTACACAACCCCAGCCTTGCAGAAAGTTTTTTCGTCGCCACAAGCAAAACTCGGAGGCGTCACGTGGCCAGGGGCGCCGTTGAAGGAAAAAAATGCGCGGCCTCCGAAGCGGTACGGGTCTGATGCTGATACCCGCGGGCCGATGTGTGGTGTACTGGTGCTTTAAGGTGAAGCCAACCTTCTGGACTTTTTACAAACCCTCCCCTGCTGCTGTAAGCTCTACCTTTTTAGCGACTCCCTCCAAGATAGACACGATGCCACAGCCATCCGTCGAAACCAAACTTGGCCGATTGCGTGGCGAGGGATTGGCGCAACTTAAACCCAAGTTTGCAACCTCCCGAGCCAGATTGAGATCCCAACCACCCGCGTGAGGATCCAAAGCACTCTTGAAAGAAACATCGTCTCCAATAGCATCCTCAATTATTCCATATGCATCTCCAAACACTCCAGTCAGCATCTCCAAGATAGTGATGCCAAATGCATAGACATCGGTCTTCTCAGTGAAAATGCCGGTTCGGAGATACTCTACAGCCACGTACTGAGCGTTAACAACTACGGTGAGGTGTAGAGATTTTCCCGATGTTTGGACTGCTTCGGTCAGTTGTGCGGCAAGCAGTGCTCGTTCAACCTCGCTGATCTTGGCCACAAAGTGGGTATCCCGAAGAATGTTTGCTGGTGCAATGGCGCGATGGATGATGATAGGACGTGCACTCGCGCTTGTTTATGAATTGGAGTGGAGAAAGCTCACAGCTCGAGCAACGTCGGCCATTACACGGAAGCGAACACGCCATGGTAGTACTAATCCTCTTGAAGGCCCCTCTCGTCGCGCAATGCAGTCCTTCACACTCCCGTTCGCCATGTGTTCATAAACCAGACAGGCTTCCTCCGAGTCGTAGCAAACTCCCACGAGGGTTAACAGATGGGGATGCTGCAGTTTTCTCAACCTATCGACGATCTCAGTCTTGAACTTGGAATGCTCAATGGCCTGCATGTCTGCATGCCGCAACCTCTTCACCCTCACGAGGGTGTTGTTACACTCTTTTTTTTCACCTAAAACACAACAACAGCAATCCCCATCGTTAAGTTTCTGCGTCGTGTCGAAGTTGTTTGTAGCCTCCTTGAGTTCATTTAAAGAAAACTCCCGCACTTCTCGTGCGGCGATGGCGTTTTCCAACCTGTCCTCCAGTTCTCGGATGCTTTGTTTAAAATTTGCCCTCTCAGATTCAAGCTGCCTTATCCGATTCAAAAGTTTTGTCCTCGACTCGTCCGACAGTTGATGTGCATTGGCCTCGGAGTCCCTCTCCTCCTCCGGCTCAGGACTCGTTTGCTTCGATAGTTCCTGCCTTTCCTCTTCTTGTTGCTGTGCCATTTCTGCTTCAAGTTGAATTCTCTCGTTCGTCTCCTCCTCTGTTCTTACGTCGTCAATCTTTTTCTTCCATTTCGACACGGTTCTGGCCACCTCCTCCCCAATTTTCCTCTCAATGTCTTCCGTCGGACAGATTGCTTTGCGTCGTGAGCCTTCAAACCCTTTGGACACGAGAGGCTCAGTTCTTACGCGCTTTTCTCCTACCTTAAACTTTTCTGTTTTTTTTTGCTCTCCCATTGTGCCAATCTCAAGGACCAGGAATCCCCCTCCACCCCCCAAAACAAGCATGTTTGACTGTTTACAAGGAGCCCCAGCAACCACATTTTGCAATCCACACGAATAGGATGACGCGAGCTGAAAATCTGTGTCGCTCCAAAGCCTTATCTCGCCATTCTTCGATGCACTAAGGATGTACGGCAAGTGCGGATGGAAGAAGCACGTCGAGACCCCGTCCGTGTGTCCTTGCAATTTGGCTGTGCAAATCCCTTCTTCATAGTCCCACACCCTCACTAGGCCATCGTCATGGCCTGATACAAGAAGTGTTTTTTCCGGTTCACTGCAAAAGTCAATACTCCTACAGCTCTGCATGCCGTACACTCGAAGAGTCTGGGCAACGCACTCTTCTTCGATATCCCAAATCTTGATTGTCTTGTGCTCTGAGGTACTTGCAAAGGTATGTGACTCTGTTGGATGAAACACCACTCTGTATATTTCACCACAATGACCTTTGAGTCCAACCTCCTTCCAGTCCTGGTCCCATCTCCACAAAGTAATGTTTCTGGCACTGTACGTCTGAGACGTCAAAAGATAGGGCATGTTGTGATGGACTGCCAGATCACATATGCGGCAGCAGGACACTCCCAGTACTTTAATGGGCCACAAGTCAAAAGCGTTGAATCCAAACACAACCAGCTTATTAGGGCGCCGCACCACAATCCAGTCCTTCTGTGCTATAAATCTAGCTTGGAGAGCATAAATGTCCCCAGGGATTTTCCACGTAACAACCCGTGTCCCATCTTCGTAGTTTCACGCTTGAACAGATTCATCACTAGGAGTAATAAGAACAAGTGGCTTCTGTGGATGCATATCGATCCACAACGAGGTTGGGACACCATCCTCCAAAATGTCGGAGCCTGTCTTCTCAAATTTTGGTACCAGCTGGAACTCGCTCTCTCCTTTGACATCATCCATGCGGGACTCACTTGGAACCTCAGATTGTTGTAGTTAACACTAAGTACCAACCAGGTACAAAGAACCTTTCGGTCCCGCTGATGCAGTTCGGTCCCGCGGACACTTACTCCTCAGATTGTTGTCGTTTACACTTAGTACCGACCAGGTACAAAGAACCTTTCGGTCCTGCTGATGCAGTTCGGTCCCGCTGACGCATATTCCTATATATGAAACACAACCTTTCTCATCATAACTGATCATTCGTCACAACCATCAATCTTCCAGACAATTGTCGTGGAGTGCGTCGCCATCCTCTCAGAGTCTGGCACCTGCTGTCCAACCAAACTCAATCTGGTGGTTTGCCTCCGATGTCAGGTACTCAAGGACCCCAAGTAAATTTGCTGTGTTTTTTTTTGTCGGTCCCGATGTGCAATCAAAAAGGTAACAAGAAAGCAATGTCAGGTGCTCTCAAGGACCCCAAGTAAATTTGCTGTTTTTTTTTTTTTTTTGAAAGGGTTGCGGGGTGTCGAGAATAGGGCGCAGGGAGGAGGGCTGGCAGGAGGCTTCACGTGTCGGGTTCAGCCTACATGCCGGCACAGCTGACCCACCCACACACACAGAGATCACTCAAGGCAGGTCACACAACCTCGACCACACACACCCCGGAGTGTCACCCTGGACTGAAGCTACCATGGTGCTGCCGCACTGCTGCGCCATGGTGCACCCCCCTCGAACCCAGGGTCCTGCATCCCTGAACCACCCAGCCGGGAGGCTGAAATGGCACCACAGTCACCACTGTCACAGGTGCGCTTTCAATTAGCTAGTGGTTGGCAGTTTGATGCTGGTTTCCTGATGGCGCGGCTAGGGGAAGGAGGCCCCGCGTACCCACCCGGGCAGCCCCGGCCAGGCCGAGTCCGCCGAAAAATCCGAAACAAAAAACATGATGCATACAATTCCAATACGAACAACTCTTGGCTGAGGGTTCCCTCAAAATTCCTGATTATTTTATTTTTAAGATAAAAAATAAAAAAGAAAACATGAGTTAAACCACCAGTACAAAGCCCCAGCCTTGCAGAAATTTGGTTGTCACCTACTCCGAAAATGTCACAGCCCGGGCCTACCAGCCCACAATGGCTAGCCGCGCCAGCCAAAAAAAGCGAAATTTTAAAGGGAACCGCTTGTGGTTCGGAAAAGCTTGGCATGCAGTGCAGCGCCTCCAGGACCAGGTGTACTGGTGGTTTAAGATATACCCCTTTAAGCCCCTTTAGCAACTGTTTATACCCCCCAGACCCCCCCGGGCGACCCGTCGCCATGATAGTGGAAGGTAAGGCCGAATTCTGACTACTCGGGCCAAGCTCAGTTCGCAGCCCGTCAGGGTTGCGTTTCCCCCCCTGAGACATTTCAACGTTCAACGTCATTTCAACGTCGTGGTCGTCGGCAGGGTGGGCATTTTAAGGTTTTGGGGCCTTGCAAGGGCCAGGACCGCGTAGGACCGGTAGCTGCGCGGAGGAGGCTGAGGAGGCCGCGGTCCTGAAGCCTTTTTCGAAATTGAAACCGTGCGGGTGCACTTTTCTCGAATACCACAGTTTCCTCGAATAGAAAATGTACAGGTTGTATTCGAATACAACCTGTACCCTTTCTATTCTATTTGGATTTCGAAAAGAAAAACTCTTGTATTCCGATAAAATTACTTCTTTTCGTTGGAGGTCAGCGCCTGCCCTCTTGCGCCCCGCCACTGACATGTTGCATGCTGCAGGTCTCTCTCTCTCTCT